TGAATTTAAGATCTGATAAAATAGTTGATATCAAAGAAGAAGAGTTTGAACAATTGAGAGATAATCTAACTAGGGATTTAAAATGTAATATGCCAGATCAATTTTTAAAATTTAATTTTTCTAAACATAGCATGAATATTAATGCGAGCATAAGATTTAACAACAAGATTCTTTTCAAAAGCATTTTTACCAATGTCATGAGACTATTTAGATTGTTTTCAAACTTTATTGATTGCAATCATGGTATTATTGTGTTAGATATGGATATGACAATTGATTTTCTAGAATACAACAATAACAATCTACAAAATTTAATAAACAAAAATTGGAATGGTTATATTGAAAAAGATTGGGGCGTAATGTTTTCCAAAGATTATATGTGGGCAGAATGTAAATTGAATAATTATTCGACATTCTTTTTTTTAATTGGGTGTGTTCTGTTTACAATTTTTGGAAAATCTATTATTAAATACAATGGTTATTTATGCCTAATTTATAATAATCCAGTAACCAATTATTTAATTTTGGTTGTTACACATTTTGTAAAATTAAAGAATTTAAACATGAGATTAATAAGCATAATAATAACGAGATCGTAACAATAGTGTTAAAATTATTTTGCACAACCGTAAATATTTCAATTGTAAGAGATATGTCCAAAAGTAGAATTTATTTACACGCTCCTATTGAGGATAAAATGAAACTTAGTGTGGAAAAGTTCGTTGAAGTCAAAATTTCTGTTAAAATTATTAAAAATAATATAATTATTTTTGAGGATGAATCAAAAAATGGTGATTTTGAAATGGTTGGTGATATAAATAAATTTATTACTTAAATGATCAAAGGATTTATTTTGAGTATTAAAGTAGTAAGAATTGCGTGTTTTCATTAAGATATAGCTTTTCATAATGAAATCTAATTCTACCATTTTTATTTTTACAAAATGTGAGATCTCTAGTTTTAACTTACTTCTTATATCTAGAAATGGGCAAATTGCGGTTTTTCAAAAAATTCTGTAAGAGATTCATAAATCTATGCGGTTGAACCTCAATTTTGATTGGCCAATAGCTGTGATCAACAAAATTTTGGTCTGCATTATATATAATTTTGGCCAGAGTTTAATTTTTTAAAAATCCTACGCGGGATCCAAAAAAAATCCTACGCATCACATGCAGAATCTGCGCGAGATCATGTGTGGGATCATGCGTGTACCCATCTCTACTTACATTTTTTTGCAGTATTTATTTATTGCCAAAGAATTAATTATACCAAAAATGTGTTATGAAATAAGAACTAAAATCTTGTGTATTTAACATTGTAGATAGAATAAAAAAATGAACAAAATAAAAATGATAGTGCTAAAAAATTTTACAAACTTGGAAAATTCAAAGATGCCAAAGAAATTTTTTTAGAACTTTTGAATAGTATCGATATTGACAATAAAATAAAACAAAATGCTAAACTATATTTAGAAAGACTGGATGCTAATAAAAGTAGACCATTGCTACCACAAATTCATCCAGATGAAGTGTACACTAGCAAACCTATTAGTACAAAATTAATTTCAGCTGCAATTAATTTTTATTTTTGTTTAATTACAATAATATAATTAATATTTGTTTACTTTTTTAGCTTAACTTAAACTTAATGAGTAAATTATTAGCTAAATATCTGAATATATGTTATCGGGAACACACTTAATATTGTAAAATTCATATAAAAGCTAACTAACTAGCATGCAATAATTCAGGGCTATTGCAAAAGGTTTTGTTCAATGAATCATTTTTTGTAACTTTACTTTGGAATCCCAATTGGTATAAAAATTATGAAAATAATTAGATTGAAAATTATCAAAGTAAAATTTCATGTAATTTTGATTATGTGAATAATTTCAGCCAAATTTTAATTAAAAGTTAATAAAAAAATTTTATATATACATTTTTAGTTCTCACTTTTTCCTATTATATTATATATAAAATGCAAGTTCTTGAAAAATATAGGTAAACCGTATTTCCAATTACAATACAAAGAGAAAATATTATTTAGTCAAGTGGAATTACAAAATTGTTAATATTTATTCTATAAATTAAAGTCATAAATAATATTAACTAATATGCTTTTCTATAGCATTGCCTCGTAATAAACCATTACTTTGTATGGTTTATAGTTATAATAAATTCATTGTGCAAGGTTTAAAAATATTTCGGCAATAGGATAATCTAAACTAGAGATGCGCCCATTTCTCTTTCAGATCAAAGTATGAACTAAAACAATTAAAATATATTATGTAAACATTAAGGAGTATATTTTAAACAAAAATACTGATATAATTATGGCGTAAAAATATTAGGGATTGATAGTCTTATCTTTGTTTAGTGTCTTCCTCATATTAACTATCTTTATATTAAAAAATGCAAACATTGATATTTCTATTGTGTTTTTATTTAAGTAATGATTTTTATACCATTTTTTCAGTCTAAGTTATTTTGTTTAATATTGTTTTTAATATTGTTATCTTAAATTGGTTTTGATATACTGGGTGATCTTAACATTAAAGTTCCAAGCCATATTAGCAATTGGGCCGATCTGTGAACATTTGATCTGCTTTATCGTTATCTGTTAAGTGTACGATATTGTTTTTAAAGAGGTATGTATATATAATTTTCTGTAGTATTGGAATTTTCCAAATCAGATTTATATCCGTTCCTAGTTTAGATAATGTAAAAAAAATTCTTTTGATGTTAATTAATCTGAAGATAGTGCTTAGAAACCATTTGACAAAATTTTTGCAATGATGAAATTGACGAAACTATATAAGATCATTGATAAAATTGATGAAGCAAGTCACTTTATCAGTTCTTTATCTCTGGAAAAATACATAATGATTAATTAATTGATTACTTGCTACATATTTTTGCATTAAGATAATATTTAAAATTCAAAAAAAGTGAATTCACGTTTACATAAAATTAAAAATATAGCTTTATTTTTTTTTTTTTTTTTT